TTAAGGAGGGAGGTTTGGGGTGAGATGGGGTGCGAGGGTGGGGGCAGGGCCGGGCAAGCGGCAAGGAAAAGCAGGGGGTGGGCTGTGGGGTGAGTCAGAAGGGGGCGGGGCTATTCCCTGGTGCAGTCGTGGTTGAGCAGACGAGGGGGGTTTGCTGGGAGACGTGCCGGCCAGGGCGAGCTGGGGTGGTGGGCGCGATGTGGTGTGCGCGGGGCGCGCGCCTCACCTGGCAGGAGGGGCGCAGGGCGGGGTCAGACGCCAGGTAGCGCCCCGCCAGGATCTCAGCAGGACCTTGATATTTTGGGGGTAGGGGGCGGCGTGTGAAGCATGGGTTCAGGACGGTTGTTTCAGTATTGGTGGATGATTTGCACGCGTGTTAGGAATCCGATGCACCGCGAAACATTAAGCCTGTGAGCCTGCTGCCTGCCCAGTGCCCCGGCGCCACCACGGCCATGGCGGCGCCCCAGATCATCACCGTAATGATCTGCCATGTCGAATGAGGTGATGCCGGCGTCGCGGAACGCCCCAAAATCGGCGATGGCGTCGCGGCCCGCGGTGCGGTCTGTGGCCTTGTCGCCCTTGTGGCCGCCGCTCAGCTGCCAGCAGCCTGCGGCGCAAGCAGGAAGCCCCGCATCAAGCTGCTTGAGGCGCGGCGGCGGTGCAGGCGTCGCATCGGGCACGACACATCTGTTTTTGCATGCAGCACTCGGTTGTGCATAGAGCAAGGATGCCGGCCACCCTGCTGCTGCTCGTGCCAGCCACTTTGCGGGGCGCTCTGCACCGCTTGGTGCAGCTCAGCCTGTGCGACGCTCGAGGTCATGTCAAGTTTTGATGTGTGCCGAAGTCAGGGGGCCCTCACCTTTGATGACCCGGCTGACCGAGAGCTGCGGCGTGAGGGCTGCCTTGGGCACGAGCGGCAGCGCGGCCTCAGCAGCTGCCCACGCCGACGGCACGGCAAAGCCCCCGGCGGCGCCGACGGCTCCGGCGACGGCCGCAGTTGCAGCTGATGCCAGAAGATGTCTCCGGTTCGGCAGTCCACAGACGCTCTGCTGCTGCTCATTGTCATCGCTCATTGATTGGCCCTGCTGGTGATGCTGCGCCGAGGCCGCGCGCCGCATGCCGCGGGCTCCAGGCAGGCGCAACGGCTGCGTGCAGGAGGGAGTACATTGAGGCAGACGCTGTGCAGCCACTCCATTTGTCATGCACCGCTGCATTTTGGGGACGCTTCCGCAAAATCAAGTCGATGCGGATGAGTGTGGACCAAGACAACGCGAAACTATTTTTGCTGCGTGAGGAAGAGGCGGATCCTGACGGAGGGTTGCAGTATACAATACGCAGCAGTGCATGCTGATCAAGCTGAAAGGTCAGCGGGAGTGGCAGGACCCACTTGGTGACGTGCCAGCCACATCAACACACCAACCTGAAGGGCTGCATTTCACGCCAAGTTATTTCATGCATAACGGCGCGCACCGTTTCCAAGCCATTCGTAATTCTCGTCTACCTGGCTGCGCGGGAATGTATGCAGGCAAGAATACGCAGGCCGCGGTGAGAGCACCCCCGCCTGTGTCCTGGGCTGCCCGCCCCCTGCACGGGGCAGCATCGAGGGTGCTTGCTGGAAAGAGCGCTGCGTCGTGTGTTGGCACTTGTCCAGCGAGATTGCACGTGTTCGCACCCAGATGCGGCGGCAAAGCTGTGCATCACGTGATCCACCAGCCCTCCGCCCGGCTTGACGACGTATGTCGGCAATCCCTCTCTGTTCTTCCTCCGCCTCTCTTGTTCAGTGGCCGCCATTCCCGATCGGCATTGGTCTTTCACAAGCACAGGCCTGAGCGAATGTCGCGATGCTGATCATGGCCAAGCGCCTCTCCCTTGCCAGCTCAGTGGCAAACCCAGGGCGCATACGTGCAGCGCAGCGCGAGGTCCGTGCTCGCATGCAAGTCGATGTCCCAAGCATAACATGTGGCCTAAACCTGGCGGCGTCATGACTGTGGTTTGCGGCGAACCGGCTGGGCGGCGGCGCGGCGCAGGCCAGCCGACCGGCCCGGCGGCGCAGGAGTGGGTGTGTGGTCAACGCGCAGGGCGTGAACGGACACTGGATACAAAATGTGCGCATGAACTGTGCTTCCATATAGCCATGCCTCTCTTGCTTGTCACTGCAGTTATCGTGCGATGCGGATGCCAGAGCCAACCGGGAGCGTGTGCTGCACGGAGTGCCGCTGGGCGTCACCCCGCGCTGAATCCTTACTTGCCTCCCAGTTCACCCGTCCATCGACCCCTGCTAGTATGATCATAATTCCAGCCCCATTCACGCCCATTGCTAGGAGATGATAGGGCTCCACGCGCCAAAACAGCTCAAGCTACACGTCCGGATTGCTGGGACTGCTGCGCGCTGGATGGGTACTGGTCACAACTACTGAAATTCATTTACTGTGCATAGGTGGGTCCAAGGGGGTGATCTCGACCACAAAGTAGTCTTCCAGCTCGGCCATGGCAGGGACCGGGTGCCCTCGGTCCTGGTCGTGCTGGGTGTCGTTGAAAAATACTGCAGCATTTACATGCGAGCTAGTTGTTTGGTCGACTCCTTCACTCATCCGAGCATCCCCCACCACCCCGCGGCCCCTCAACCTCGCCCGCGAGCAGTGTGCTGCATCGGACGGGTGCGGAGTCTCAGCTTGCGTCCTCTGGCTGGCTCCTGTCGAGGCGCACGCGGATCCCGGCCCGGCGCGGCATCATCGCCGACGCCCTCAATGCGCGTCACCACGCGCCCAGACGCGATCGCCCGTAGCTCGGGCACACTTACCCAGTAGGCAGTGGGCCAGGGCGTGGCCGCGGCGGCGGCCTCCGCCGTTGCGGTCGACGCGCGTGGGATGAACGATGGCGTGGTGCTGGGCGGAGCCATGCTGCTGGATGGCGCGGCAGACGGGCCCCTCTCCCCCGTCCACAGCAACGGGGACCCGGCGCCACGCGGCAGCGGCGAGAGCCCCCTGGGTGGGTGTGGCGGGTCTCTGATCCAGCAGCAGCAGCAGCCCCCACATCACAACCACCAGCAGCATGCGCCTGGAGCCTGGCCCGGCGCTGGCGGGGCCGGCACCAGCTCGCAGCCAGTTGGTAGTGCCGGTGCTGAATTGCCTGCAGATGGCCGCCCGATCGACGCGTGGCGGTCGCCACCGTTGGCACCCCGCCGCGACAAGGCCGCCGCCACGGTGCAGGGGCAGCTGCAGCTGCAGGTGCAGGCGTCCTCCGCACACCAGCAGCAGGACCAGCGGCGGCGGCAGCAGGAGCAGCAGCAGCAGCAGCAGCAGCAGGCACAGGTCCCCCTGTCGGCCGGCGTTGCCATGCAGGCTCCCCGGCGGATGAGCGGGCTGACAGGGGCGTTCCGAAAGTATGCCACTGATGGTGACGGCCAGGGTGGCGGCGGGAGCGGCCCGACCTCCCCTGCAGCCCCTGCCTGCGCCAGCGGCGGTGGCGGCGGCGCAGTGCCTAACGAGCGCCACGCGCAGCAGTGCGGCCCCGGAGGCGGCGCGAGCGTTGTGGATGGCGCTTGCTGCGGCGTTGACGGGGCCGCTGACGAGGACGGCGACGAGGCGATGCGGGAGGACGCTGGCTGCGACGGCGGCGACGAGGCGGACGCAGCGGCCCCGAACCCACAGCTGCAGCAGCCACAGCCGCGGGCACGTGTTCTGGCTGCTGCAGATGCGCCCGACTGCCGCACCCAGCAGCAGCAGCAGCAGCAGCAGCAGCCATTGGTCGCGGCCGCTGCAGCAGCGGATGATCTGGACGTGGCCGGTGACATGCCCAGCAGCAACCTGACTGTTCGCCTCAGCTCCCAGCTGGCCTCCACCTACCGCAAGTGCTCCCCCCGCAGCAGCAGCGCGCCGCAGCAGCTGCCGCCGGGGCGGCGCGTGCTGACGCACCCGAGCGCGGGGGTGCGCAACGAGGGGTGGGACAACGAGGCGCATGACCTGGTGCTGGCCACTGGGGACGTCCTGGTCAACGCCTCGGGACAGAGGTAGGTTTTTTGGGGGGGGTGGGGT